CATACTTATTATTATTATTATTATTATTATTATTATTATTATTATTATTATTATAGTGCCAAGACGATTATTACATTATTTTGTTGTAATCTAAGAAGACATGTGTGTGTACTCATCTTCTCTGGTTGCTACTGTATGTGTGTACTCACCTAATTGTGGTTGCAGGGGTCGAGACTCAGCTCCTGGCTCCGCCTCTTCACTGGTGACTACTAGGTCCTCTCTCTCCCTGCTCCATGAGTTTTATCATACCTCGTCTTAAAGCTATGTATGGTTCCTGCCTCCACTACGTCACTTGCCAGACTATTCCACTTCCTAACAAACTATGACTGAAGAAATACTTCCTAACATCCCTTTGACTCATCTGAGTCTTCAGCTTCCAATTGTGACCCCTTGTTTCTGTGTCCCATCTCTGTGGGGGGGGGGGGGGTTCACCTAATTGTACTCACCTAATTTTGGTTGCAGGGATCGAGTCATAGCTCCTGGCCCCGCCTCTTCACTGGTCGTTACTAGGTCTACTCTCCCTGCTCTATGAGCTCTGTCATAGCTCTTCTTAAAGCTATGCATGGATCCTGCTTCCTGTGTGCGTATGTGTTGTTAGTCTGTGAGCGAGTTGAGTTCGTTGAAGGGTTCTTGATCCAAGGAATTAGTTACATTCCATTTGTTTTCTGAAGTAAAATTCCATTTTCCAGGTGCCGTGTGACTCTCTACGGGTTTACCTCTTTTTTTCTTTTTCTCTTTCTTCTTTTTCTTTTTCTTAATAATAATAATAATAATAATAATAATAAAATAATAATAATAGTAATTTTCAAAATAACAATAATAATGATAATTAAAATAATTACAGGTTATATAATAATATCGATTATTTTGAGGAAGTGAGTGATTCATGTAATATTGAATGATGTCTGACGGAGTGACGTCGCTGGTTACTGGGAGTCTTGATGTATAATGATCGTCTTATGGGTGTCCACGACGCGTGAAGGGTAGTGGGGGGGGGGAGGAGGCCTTGAGAGCACTGACGTTATTCTTAATTGTAAGTTTCGTGACATTTTTGAGGGGTCGAGGCCAGAGATGAGTAGTTGGGAGGAGCAGAGATGCTACTCCAGAGAGTACAGATGGAGGTGTGGCACTTCAAGGAGAAGAGGTGGTCCTCCAAGGAGAAGAGGTGGTCCTCCAACGAGAAGAGGTGGTCCTCCAAAGAGGAAAGATGGGGAGGTAAATGTGCTCATTCCCTGAGTGGCTTATTGTGTATGGATGCTAAGTTGCTGATATCCTCCTCCTCCTCCTCTTTCTCCTCTTCCTCTCCTCCTCCAGCGATCTTCACCGACTAATTACCGAGCATGGAAAGGCAGCTTACCACAAGACAGATTAGATCCTCCGTGAAGAGGATTTAATACCATGCGGCACACCTTATGAAACCCCAGTGTGGTGTTGAAGTGAAGGAGAGGAGGCTTCCAGCATGCAGTGTGGTGAGGGAAAGGAGGCCTCCAGCATGCAGCGTGGTGAGGGAGAGGAGGCTTCCAGCATACAGTATGGTGGGGAGGCTTCCAGCATGCAGTGTGGTGAGGGAGAGGAGGCTTCCAGCATGCAGTGTGATGGAGAGGAGGCTTCCAGCATGCAGTGTGGTGAGGGAGAGGAGGCTTCCAGCATACAGTGTGGTGAGGAGGCTGCCAGCTTGCAGTATGATGAGGGAGAAGCTTCCAGTTTGCAGCCTGTCGAGGGAGAGGCTTCCAGCATGCAGTGTGTCGAGGGAGAGGCTTTCAGCATGCAGCGGCGTGTCGAGGGAGAGGCTTCCAGCATGCAGCCTGTCGAGGGAGAGGCTTCCAGCATGCAACGTGTAGAGGGAGAGGAGGTCGTTATATTCCATAATCTGCATGAACCGCTCCGCCATAGACAACAGGATCATTGCACTCCTCCAGGGAAGCTGTAATCGTTTAATATCACATACCTGTAAGCTCCTCCCAGGAAGCTCATCACTTACAAAAGCCACTGCTCAACAAAAACCTTCTCGCTTAAGTGCTAGCAATAATTTAAGACAAGTTACATACACTGATGGATCTAAGCAGGAGTCTACTGGCAGGGCTGCATCTGCTCTTGTTGTCACCTTCCTAGCAACTATGTTGAATATGAATGGTGCAATATACAATATCGACAAGGTGAAAATTAGTACAGGTGCAATATCTGGGTACCTTTATTGTAGACGTTTCGCCATCCAGTGGCTTTACCAATACATATTCGAGGACATAATCGATTACTTCATCTTCTGTATATGGGTCTACTGTTTTCCAATTGTGTTCTCGAATTTGTATTTATAAAGCCACTGGATGGCGAAAAGTCTACAATAAAGATATCAGATGTTGCACATGTGTCTAATTTTCAACTATGTTGACTTAGGCATAAAAATTAACAACTGGGAGTCTTTCCTTACTGCTGACTGAATTGCTAAGGTTGACTTATGACAGTTAGCTTGACTCTTGATTATTACTGAATCTAATATTATCATTGAGAGCTCTTGACTCACATGATGATTTGTTGTTGTTGTTGGGTTTTACAGGACCACTGACAGTACGCCGTATCGAACCCTGCCTTCCAGGACCCGGGGAAAGAAACCAGGTATGTAGATATTGACGAAATCAGAGCGAAAGAATTTTATATATAGTTTTTATGAATGCTATACATTAAATTACTCCTGCGTGATAATGTGATAAATTAACCGAAGCAAGTCAATATAATGTGTAACTTCAGTAGTTTGCTGGATTATGTATTGGTTGAAAAAAGACTGATGGGTAAACTTCAAGATGGGCATGTTTATAAAGGCGCCATAGATATATCGGATCATTTTTTTAATTGTAGCTACAGTGAGAGTAAAAGATAGATGAGTGCAATTGAAGAGAGCACCAAAAAGAATAGGTATATATATATATATATATATATATATATATATATATATATATATATATATATATATATATAATATATATATATATAAAATATATATATATATATATATATATATATATATATATATATATATATATATATATATATATATATATATATATATATATATATTTATTTTTTTTTATTATCACACTGGCCGATTCCCACCAAGGCAGGGTGGCCCGAAAAAGAAAAACTTTCACCATCATTCACTCCATCACTGTCTTGCCAGAAGGGTGCTTTACACTACAGTTTTTAAACTGCAACATTAACACCCCTCCTTCAGAGTGCAGGCACTGTACTTCCCATCTCCAGGACTCAAGTCCGGCCTGCCGGTTTCCCTGAATCCCTTCATAAATGTTACTTTGCTCACACTCCAACAGCACGTCAAGTATTAAAAACCATTTGTCTCCATTCACTCCTATCAAACACGCTCACGCATGCCTGCTGGAAGTCCAAGCCCCTCGCACACAAAACCTCCTTTACCCCTCCCTCCAACCTTTCCTAGGCCGACCCCTACCCCGCCTTCCTTCCACTACAGACTGATACACTCTTGAAGTCATTCTGTTTCGCTCCATTCTCTCTACATGTCCGAACCACCTCAACAACCCTTCCTCAGCCCTCTGGACAACAGTTTTGGTAATCCCGCACCTCCTCCTAACTTCCAAACTACGAATTCTCTGCATTATATTCACACCACACATTGCCCTCAGACATGACATCTCCACTGCCTCCAGCCTTCTCCTCGCTGCAACATTCATCACCCACGCTTCACACCCATATAAGAGCGTTGGTAAAACTATACTCTCATACATTCCCCTCTTTGCCTCCAAGGACAAAGTTCTTTGTCTCCACAGACTCCTAAGTGCACCACTCACTCTTTTTCCCTCATCAATTCTATGATTCACCTCATCTTTCATAGACCCATCCGCTGAACGTCCACTCCCAAATATCTGAATACGTTCACCTCCTCCATACTCTCTCCCTCCAATCTGATATTCAATCTTTCATCACCTAATCTTTTTGTTATCCTCATAACCTTACTCTTTCCTGTATTCACCTTTAATTTTCTTCTTTTGCACACCCTACCAAATTCATCCACCAATCTCTGCAACTTCTCTTCAGAATCTCCCAAGAGCACAGTGTCATCAGGTATATATATTATATATATATATATATATATATATATATATATATATATATATAATATATATATATATATATATATATATATATATATTCTCAGCAGTCAGTGAATCTTGGTGGGTAGTGACTGTACTGTGAGATAGTGACTTACCTCACCACTGTCTACTGACTCCACCAGCATGTAGAAAGTGACCCCAGAATTAGGAGAAATGAAGCCCAGATTCTGGGGAAATTGAACCTCAGCTTCTGGGAAAATTGAACCCCAGTTTCTGGGAAAATTAAGCCCAGTTTCTGGGGAATTTGAACTCCAGCTTCTGTGGAAGGAAGCCACTTTATACCAACACTTTCTACAATAAAAGTTCTGAGTTGTCTGTGACTATCATTCAAGTCTTGCATTAAACCAGCTAACTCATGAAACAGTCACCTTATTAAATGAGCTAACTGAGGTGTCTCTTAGCTCGATTGTTAGAACACTTGGCTCATACATTGAGGTCCGTGGTTCGATCCCCGGCACGGGTGGAAACATTAGGACATTAGGACGAGTTTCCTTAAGTCACCTGTTGTCCATATTCACCTATCAATAAAATGGGTTCCTGCGTGTTAGTCGACTGGAGTGGGTCGCATCCTGGGGACAAAATTGACCTGAATTGCCCTGAAATGCTCTGCATAACAAGCGGCTCTCTGTATAGTAGTATGTCATTAATGTCAGCTATGGTCTGTATACATTGTACATGTAAAAATAATAATAATAATAATTATTATTATTATTAATATTATTATTAAATGAATCAACTCCTTCATTAAATACCACAAGGAATTCTGTCTCTACTGTTCTATTGTTTACGACACACAGAATCAACATGAAAGGATCTCTGGAATAAAAGACTGTCACAGTATAAAACTATTTACTCCTGCTCACTACCATTATAAAACCTCTACTGTCTCTTACTCAAAAAATTATGTCACGAGAAAAATTTGAAAAATACCAGCTATTCAAAAAATGGTCCATTAAGGCTAACACAGTCTCTCTAGGACTCTCAACTAACACAATGTTTTTGTATTAGCTATTTCTTAAAAATCTAAAAAAAAAATGTGTGTAGACTGTGACTTTAAGGTGTTCACTATTTACTATATCTCACTAAAATGGGCTGAGTTGGAGCCCTAGGCGCTGGAAGGTGGTACCATGGTAACTATGGGTGGTTGGTGGGTTGGTTGATTTGGGTTCGTAACCTGTCATCTACTCTATGGGTCATTAAGGCTGCATGTCACCTGTTCAACACCAGTCAAGAGTATTTTAATTAAAGTAAGCTCTCAAGGTTTGTACACTGAGAGAATACTCCTCTCAGTGTACTTATACTGAGAGAATGCTCCTCTCAGTGTATTTATACTGAGAGAATGCTTCTCTTAGTGTGTATATACTGAGAGAATGCACCTTTCAGTGTGTATATACTGAGAGAATACTCAGTGTATGTATACTGAGAGAAGGTTAGGTTTGTCAGGAAACAGAACAAGTGTTTCCTGACGCGAGTCTTAGTTATATGATAACTCGCAGCTGTAGCGTTTGGTCATCTGACCGAGGTATTCCCCTGGCGTACCCCTCCACCCATTTAAAAATTATAAGTTATATATCTACTGAGAGACTGCACTCTCAGTATGTATATACTGAGAGTGGATTAGCTTCAGGCTCTGATAAGGGGAGTCAGGTGTAAACTACACCACTGAACAGCCAATCCCAGTCCACTGTACAATAAGTACGATATTAGTAGAGTATTGACCAATTAGAAGTATTGATTCACGAGCTTCTGGCTTGGTTTTGGCCCTTGTTTCACTAGCCTCTCAGGTCACTGACTAATCACAACCGTTGCTCCATGAGGTTCTCACAGGTCACTAATCAGTCACAGCCTTTGCTGTACCAGCCTCTCACGGGGCACTGACCAATCACAGCCTTTACGTTACCAGCCTCTCACGGGGCACTGACCAATCACAGCCTTTACGTTACCAGCCTCTCACGGGGCACTGACCAATCACAGCCTTTACGTTACCAGCTTCTCACGGGGCACTGACCAATCACAGCCTTTACGTTACCAGCCTCTCACGGGGCACTGACCAATCACAGCCTTTACGTTACCAGCCTCTCACAGGGCACTGGCCAATCACAGCCCTTGTTTTACCAGCCTCTTACAATGCACTGACCAATCACGTGCCTCTCACAGCATTGACTAATATATAGCCGAGAGAATGAGAGATAATGAGATTCGCTCCAAGGAAGGCAAGATTACCTCTAAACCCAAGGATCAAGAGCGCTTCAAACCAGCATCAAAGAATCCTTCCCTTAGAAGGGTCATACCATGATAATTCTTACCTAAATTTACCTTATAAAGAATTGATACAATTTTTGCCTATTTTAATGAAAAATTGTGTTGTGAGTATTTATTGACCTAATTTATAGTCATTTATTGACCTAGTTTCTAGTGATTGTTGACCTATTTTCTAGTGATCACCTGGTGGACTCAGAATTGATCCCTGACTCAGGAATATCACTCGCAGCAACGCTTCTTAATTAACCCAAACGTCAGAGAGGAAACTTTAAAAGACGTTGTATTCCCTCCTGGATCATAATTAAGTTTCATAATGGGTCGAGGAGGGTTCGAGACGTCGTGTAAACTTTCTTCTCCTAAGCTTGAGTTATTTGTGAAACATCTATGATTGGTCAATAGCTGGTAGATAGAGAGTGCAACGGACAAGTGTAGTAGTAGCAGCAGCAACACACACAGCAAGAGGCATTCTTGAGCTTTCCCAACGCTCGGGCTTAATGCCCAAAGCTGGGGTATGACTCCAAAAGGATCCTGTAGTGCTTGCTGCCTTTCCACCTCCTGGCATCGTCTGCTGCTGTGCAGCTGCCACACTCTTTGAGCCCAGTGTGGGCGGGGTTTGTGGCAGCCCAAGGTGCCTAGCTTCTCCCTCCGAACCCTGTGGGGTCGGGGGATGGGGCTAGACCTGGGGACAGCTGGTCCCACAAGACGAAGAGGTACCTGACCTCCTCCCATGGCAGATATTGGTCTGAGATACTCCCTCGACAGGGAGCCAAGGCCGGGCCACCTCTTGGAAAAGGCCCGGGCCAGGCGATTATACCCGCGAATCTACAACAGAACAGAACAGTAACTGGTAGTGGTTGTATCTTGTTTAGGTCCCAGTGATTGGTCAGTAGCGGGAAGTGGTTGTATCTTATTTAGGTCCATGTAATTGGTTAGTAGCGGGAAGTAGTTGTATCTTGTTTAGGTCCCTGTGATTGGTCAGTAGCGGGAAGTGGTTGTATCTTGTTTAATTCTCACTCTGTGACTGACTTATGAACACATACCTAGAGAAATAATAGCAAGGAACGTGTTCCTTGCTATTATTTATGGTAACTTGCGCCAACATTCGCCAGACCTTCCCTGTACATACGTTAACTCAGGCATACATTGACCAGGCCTCCCTTACCACTGGTCCATTGTTTTTATGGTACCAACCTTAGTTCCAGGCGTGTGTATATATATAATATATATACCAACATCACAAATATTATTCAGCAGAGCTAGAAAGAGAATACTAAAGACGATTTTTTTCAGAATTGAAAACGAGTGGTGATAATAGGAAGAGGAAAAGGATGAGGGTTTAGGAGGAAAATATACTTACCATAGTAGATAAGAGTAGTGGTATCACATAATATGGTAAGTCTTTCATTCGCTTGGATATATTAATTCAAACCACAATGGCGAAGAATATTGGTGCATACGTATGCATTATTCACACACGTAGTCACCTATTTGTGTTGCAGGGGTCGAGTCTAGCTCCTGGCTGTGTGTGTGTGTGTGGCACGTGTAAACAACATCTGCGGTCTGCTTTCCTTCCAGAGTCTCCGTAATATTGTCATGATGTAAGCTTGACCCTCCATCCGCTAGTAATTAGCCAGGTCTGTGACCAGTTAAGACTGTTGCTGACCTCATACGGTCAGAAACTGCGGCTTGCTGAACTAAATGCCAGCAAGATACGCCACAAACATGCTGCAGTGATATGTTGTAGTGATATGTATTGGATAGATATGTTGCAGTGATATGAACTGGATAGATATATTGGGTCAAACACTGGTTATGAATTAGCATATGTGTGTAGACGTAATTCTAGGAAGTAATGAAGGCGGATTAAGGTGTCATAAAATGTAAGGGAAGACGTGACAGGGATGTCTCGTAGACGTGACGGAGATGTGTCATAGACATGACAGGAATGTGTCACAGTCAAAACTCGTGCTGTACACATTGATCTGAGTGTCACTGTGAAGGACCACGGCAGCAGTGACCACTGACTTACATGTGGTGCTGGACACAGTGATCTGAGTGTCACTGTGAAGGACCACGGCAGCAGTGACCACTGACTTATATGTGGTGCTGGACACAGTGATCTGAGTGTCACTGTGAAGGACCACGGCAGCAGTGACCACTGATTTACATGTGGTGCTGGACACAGTGATCTGAGTGTCACTGTGAAGGACCACGGCAGCAGTGACCACTGACTTACATGTGGTGCTGGACACAGTGATCTGAGTGTCACTGTGAAGGACCACGGCAGCAGTGACCACTGACTTACATGTGGTGCTGGACACAGTGATCTGAGTGTCACTAATCGGTGCCCATGACTTTCTGCTTTTCTCTGGCTACTCTCACCTTTACATCAGTTTGAAAACATTCCATCTCACAACCAAAAGAGAGTCAGGGCTCGATTCCCGGGCTAGACAAGACGTAATGCAAGTCTTCTTACACACCCCTCTGCCACTGTTCACACCTGCCATGAAAGTTGGTTGACTGTTGTGGGTGGCATCCTGGGAAGTTTAATATTAGAATCAGATTTAGATATATTTCTCCACGTAAGATTCAGGTAGGGTTATACGAGTGGGTTATACAAATGGGTTGGATTATGTAAGTGGGTTGGATTAGGAGAGTGGGTTGGGTTCTTCGTTAAATTGCATCTCAAAGAGATGTGATTGACTTTTTGGCCTAGGTGGTCAAAAATCAAACAACATTGCACCCAGAAAGACGTGGATTGTCAATCCATGTCTTTACTAGCACGTCACTGCTGTTCGTTTCTTGCAACATACGAATTCATTGCGAGTCGTGTCTTGCAAGATATAGATACACTGCAGGTTGTGACCTACAACATACAGGTACACTGCAAGCTGTGTCCCACAAGTTACATACACTGCAAGTTGTGTCCCACAAGATACATACACTGCAAGTTGTGTCCCACAAGATACAGATACACTTCGCTCCATATCTTGGAAGACATGTAACATTTCCTTGCTCCTACTAGCACTTCACACTACTGTAGCAGCCAACTCTTGCAAGATACAGACAAGTTACATGCATCGACTGGATACAAAAATATTAGTTATCAATAGTAGATTTTCTATGGCACTAAAATCACGAGTTAACACAATCCTCCTCATCTCTAGATTACTGACACAATCCTAAACTAATCCTTCCAGGAGAGCTAACTAGATATGAACTAGAAGTGAGCCGTTGACAGACTTCTGAGAGAGTACTTGGCACTAGTGCCGAAGGGGTCGGCGAGAGTGCCACTGATAGTAAAAATGGAGCAGCGTGGAGGCTTCGGGTAGATGGAAGAGTTTGTTCGTTGAAGTTGGACCTCGGGTTCAGGCTTGGTGGAGTGGCACTCAGACTGGTCTCTTCTGAGGTTGAGAGAAGCAGAATCCCCAGCATCCAAGGCTGGAAGTTGGAATGCAGCGCTGGGGATATCAGGGAGCGAGTAAGCACTAGTGTCACAGGCTAGAGGCAAATGTGGGTTCGAAGGTTCTTCGTAATGACTCCAGGAGTCGAAAGTTGGAGTACCGAGACGATCACAGGAGAAATTGAGCTGAGGACTAGAGGACAACTCCGAGAGAGATGACGAGGCCATCTCGTCCTCGAAGCATCTCGTCCCTGGGCTACTAGTGGACGTGCGTCTGCAATACACGTCACTTAGGCGTCGACTGGAGTGGAGTATGGCATTGAGTCGTACTTGAAGTTCATCACCAGCGGTGGTGCGAGTATCCAGCCGAGTGGTGGTGGGGGAGGCGCCTGTGAGGAGGCTGTGATTTACTCCTTCCTCGCGGGATCTGACGAAGGAGTGAGAGGCAGCTAGGTTTTCCTCGACTCTCTTAGGACACCGCAGGAAGATGGGTTCTACCTGCTTTATGTAAGATGCTGCAGACGTTGACTGAGTGACAGCATCACTTGTAGACCCTGAGGCACTCGACTCCTCTTCTTCCTCCTCGACACTGAGAGTACTAAGCTGGCCCTCACTCTCTCTTTCTCCTCCTTCTTTCTTAACCTCACACGTGGAGGAAGTGGAAGACGGAGAGGAAAATAAGGAAGATGGAGAAGAGCAAGAGGGAGAGGAGGCAACAGATGGAGGACATTCAGTGGGAGGGACGTCCGTGGAGCCGCCATCTTTGTTGACGCCCGTGATGATGGCTACCTTAGACACGGACGAACACGACGACGATGACGAGGAAGAACTTGAAGAGGACGACGATGAGGAGGAACGTGTTCGATCATCACGTAGTGACGCTGACAACCTCTGGCGCGACACACGGGCC